TTTATTTCTATGAGAAATTGATCAATTCCAGATATATATTAATTTATGTACAAATTACAATACAGTTTACAGGTTTACAAATTACTTACAGACCAAATCTTGATCTAAACAATACTCCGGTCCGAATCTTCCCTCTGAAAAAAAACACAAACTTAAAACGCTACTTAAAAAAAAAAAGGCGTTTAAAAAATGGTGATCACACTTCTATCACGTGACCCTGGTGGTCCAACGGAGATCTACATTCTTCCGACGGCCTCGACTCGGCTATCTTCTCCGCTACTTCGGCCATAACCAGCCTCGTTAGCAACAGTCCGGCCACAAACGCAGCTCCCATCAACATTGTGAAAACGGCCGTCCAGCTACTCCTCGACGATATGTAACCCGTTAGCAACGGTCCAACCGCTGCTCCAACCGATCCCGTTCCATCGATTATAGCCGTTACAGTCGCAAGAGCTCTCGAGTTTCCTTTTAACGAACTGTGCGTCCCGAGATCAGCTGAAACAGCCGTTGTGATCAAAGCGTAAGGTCCGTTAACCAACATTCCGGTTAAGAACATGAGAGACGCGTTGGCTAATAACGAGACGTGTCCGTAGCTTCGGTAGAAGAATAAAGCGGGGATTGAGCAGTACATGAAACTCGCAGCTGTTATCGCTCTTGCTCCGATTCGGTCTGAAATGTAACCGGCCATGATTCCTCCGACCACACCTCCTACATCGAACATCGTAGAAAGATTTCCCGCTGTTTCATCCGATAAATACTCGCCTTCGATCGCTGCAATTACCATACAAAAATCGTAATCAGTTAGGACATATAGTCTAGTGGTTTGTGCTAGTATGCGTGTGTGAATTGTAGACGTATCATTACCTGTGTGGCTAACGTAAAAAGGGAGCCAGTAGAGGAAAGTGTAAGCGACCAACTTAGCAAAGAAGAGACAGAGAGCGAAAGGCGCAACTCCGGGAATCCTCCACGCTTCGATGAATCCAACAGCTCGTTTCTTGTCATCAGTTTCCGAATCCGACGAGCTCAAAAGTAAAGGAACATTTACAGAGTCTCCGATTTTCTCAGAAGAATCAACATCCTCGTCTCTCTCTGCTCCAACAACCTCCGGATTCACAGGCAAGAAAGCGAAATTCACCAATCCAATCACAACAATAACAACACCAGGAACCACAAAAGACCATCCCCAACCATATCTCAACATCGCAGCAGCGATCAACGAGCCAGTGATGTTCCCAACCGAAGTATGCGCGTTCCATATCCCCATGATCAATCCTCTCTTCTTCTTGTTGAACCAGTTTCCAACCACAGCAACAACAGAAGGCCAACCAGAGGATTGAAACAAACCAGCAAGCATTTGCATAATCAAGAAATAGTAAAAGCTATGAATATTCGCCCAATAACCGACACCAAACAGAGAAGTAAACAATCCGGTACCGATCATTCCGACAGTCAAGAATATCCTTAGATTCATCCTATCTCCCAAATGACCAGCGAAATACATTCCAAAAGCGTAAACCGCAAGAAACGCAACGTCGATCTCACCGAGTAGAACCGTTCCATTCGGTCCGTTAAAAGGAGCCCAACCTTCTTGTTTCTGTCCTGTTTTAAAAGAAGTGAACCTTAAAAGGATCGAGTTAACCACTGTGTCTGGAGATTGTGGATCAAGAGCACTTTTGACAATGCTTGTTGTTTTTCTTGCTGCGTGGTAGCTAGCGTAAGCGAGGAAAGTCACGATCAAGACTATAGCTTGGTATGCATTGTAAGAAAGCTTTGAACCTTTGATGCGTTCCAAGAATCGAATCCCTACTGGTTTTTTCTCCAACTCTGGCTCTGATTGCATTAGAGAACCCATCAAAAACTGTGTTTTTCTCAATTCTCTCCAATGTTTTTAACCTGAAGATAAGAAATAAATTTAGTATTTGATGAGAACCTCAAGGAGAAGATTCCAAATTTTCATATAGAATTATGTTTTTTTTTTTTTTGTGTAGAAAAAACTTCATAAACTCTTGGCTTTACGCAAAGGTTACACCTTTGGAATCTGACTGATGATGAATCTCTAAAACGTGTCGTAGTTAGTGACAGATCATTGATTGTTATAAACTCTCAAAAGGACTATTTGAAGTGTATTAATAACTTAAAAAAAAAAATCAGATTTATTACCTTAACATGAATTATGACTTTTACTATTGGTATAATCTAAAGGAATATTCTTCAGACAGAAAATCTAAATCCAATTAAAATTATATCTCGTGAGACATAATTAATTGTTTTACTAAAGTGGATAATTAATTGTTTTCTTAATCATGCAAAAAAAAAAAACATCCTTGAAATATTCAAATTAAATTTTTTTAAAAGGAATTATAAAACAGAACAGAATCAATTGAGATTCGAATCTATAGAAGATGGTAAAAAGAACCCTTGGAGATGAAGAAACAGAGAGATCTAACGACGAAGACTCACGTATTCATTATTTTGAAGAAATCCTTCGTAATCTGTAACAATCCGTAGAATATTCCATCGGACGAACAAAAAAAATGCCCCGAGAAAATAGAAGAAAACTTCAAACAAAGATTTTGACTCAAACCCAGAAGAAACATTCAAAAACCCAAAATAATAATAATCTGAATTATACCTTTTATATACGTTCGTCAAGCTCAGATGCAGAAAA